AATAGGAGTTCCTAGCTGCTCCATTATTTGTGCCCTCAGTTACAAATTTATATGCCAGCTAAAGCCTAACAACAATTTTGCTTAAGAAGTTATTAGTGTAGTAGCTGGAATAGCACTGGGTAGCAGAGAGTGCCCCGTCATTGAGAGCTGTCACAGGTTGATTGTATCAAGTTGTTTTAAAATATTCTCAAGTTCAACATGCACCTGTTCCATGAATCTCAGGACAAGGAGAAACAAAATGTACGCAGCGTTCACCACAGACTACCTAAGTGTTCACTGAAAGCTTATAAACTGCTCAAGAATGTTATCAGCAATTCTTGATACGTTATGGCCACCAAGCAACATCTATTGAACTGATGCTGTGCAAAGTAGATTCCAGAAGTATGGTTTCCATAAAAGCAGAAGATACCTGACAAGCTACTGTGGTAGCTCAACATGTTAAAGCCGGAGGCCTGAGAGTACAGTCTAACCTTAAACCCACCCCCCAAAAAATGATTTTCTGCATGTTGTGCCAGAGTGCACCCTCAATAAGGAAGGTGGAAGCACACTACTATCACCGCCTAGGCCAGTATAGATTTCCATTCCAACTGTTAAGTACTGCTGTTAGCTATTGGTACTGCTTCAGTGATAACACCAAGCAGGCTCAAAGCCCCTGCACGCATGTAAGTGTGCTAAATATAGATTTGGAAACATACCTCCGAACATGAGGCATGCAGCAGTTTAACAAATTACACCTACAGTCATACCCAGCAAGTGGGAAACAACAAGTTTGAACAGGCCATCATTATTCCTTTGTAAGTCACAAAATGACTATGGTGAATACTGCAATATTTAAAACGTGCCTGAAGTCTAAAGCATTTCTGCTCTTTTCATACTATGGCAAACCCCAGGATAAAAAAAAAAAAAAAAATGGTAGACTGTTTGCCATTGAATACTCACTATCTGTTCCATAAACAGATGCAAGTATAGAATTGGATTTTACAATGCATCAATGCAAGAATGCACTGATTCTGTAACTAGGCTTGGAAGGACCATACTAAAAATCGGTGCAATTAAAATTCTGGAAAATACTGAGCAGCACTGGTGACAGGTGATACAACCTGCCAAATTTACTCAAAAAACCCCGCCTGCCCTCTTTTGCATTTCCAAGTTCTCATTTTTTATTTTATCATCAGTTTAAAAAAAGGATAATTAGTGATTGAACTTTAAAAATTTTCCTTAATTAAAAAAAAAAATCTGACCTCTTGAAAAATCAAGGTAGCATTTTGAGACATGAGAATTTATGAAAAATCCTTCCAAGCCTAACCATAATGCAGGTATTCCCAACCCGACTAGTATCAGGGTTAGCTGCAAATATGCTCAATAGCACATTTGAATTTGTTCACAACCAGCTTCCAACTAATCTGAACTACGATGCTATTAAGAACTAAACTATCACTATATATTGCCAGACTAGCCCTCCGTGCTGTATATCTGACAGAAGAGAGTAGTCAGTCAGTAAGAGAATGAAATGTACACAACTGGTACAGAGTTCAGAATCCCCTGCCTTCAACATTCACTTGTACTAAAGTAAAGCCACCGCAGGATACATTACCATGTCATTTCCCATCATAGAACCACTCATGGCTGGTTGCCCAACTCCAGGACTAGCTTCATATCCTATGCCACCACCACCTCCAAGAGGTGGGAATTTCTGGGCTGCTGAAGCATATGGATCTAAAGAAGAAAAATATAATCATTTTGTGATACTTTATAAATAAGCCATGTGAAGGTGTTATTTTAACAGTACTTTACCTCCCATATTCATTGTGGTGGCACCACCCATTCGCATGTCTCTCTCTCTCTGCAAAAAGAAAAAAGAAATTTGCAATGAGTAACCACAAATTTTTCAAAAGCCTGCACCAGTTTAAACAAAAACACAATTTAATATCACTTTTGTATTAAGTTGCTTTTGACATTAACAATTTCTGCTTTTTTGAATTAGAAGGGGAAAACCAAGAAAATCCCCAACATCTCTCTAGATAGTAATAGTTTAACTGAATCGCAGAGCTCTTCACTTACTGGATCCATATAACCCATTCTACTGTAGTTCTCCTCCCTCTGTCTTCTCATTTGCTCTTCCATCTCCCGCTGGCGGATCATCATTTCTTCTTCCCGTCTCCGACGTTCTTCCTCCTGCCTAATAATTTAAACATGTGCCATTAAGCCTGAGAGAGATGCATCCTTAATATAGATTTTACCTGTTCTCCATAGGAATGCCTAACGCTTTAATGTGCGTGCTTCGGGTAGGTAAGAGGCATAGCCACTTAAAGGTTCAGTGCAAACCATCTGATGCTAGTAACTGTCAAGGACATTACTGAGAAAACAGCTACTTAATTTCACAAGCCAAGTATTATGCAGTTTCACTGAAGCTTAATGTGTGAAACTCATTTTAAAATCATTCACTTCACCAATATCAGCATGATTGACTTGTAATACAGACAAGTATGGTACGACTTACCTCAACTGCATTTCCTTGCGTTTCTGCATCTCCTGGTTATGAAGTTCCTCCATACGCCTCAGCTCTTCCTGACGCCTCATAAGGTCTGTAAAAAATATAGAATGTCATTATTTTGTACAAGCAAGGAACCCAACGAAAGTGAAGTGAAAAATATTTTGCAGAGTAACATTGTGAAATTTAATTCAGTTGTTTACACGAAAATTCTATGAAAATGCAAGCATTCATATACATTTGCAACTATTCCATATCAGCACAATCGAGGAAGCTCTAATAAAAGAATTTTGCCAGTCACCTTGACGCAAGAGATTTGCCTGATGCTCATGATAGGCATCTTCCATTTCACTTTCAAGCTTGTCCTTGGCATCTTTCATATTCTTTTCAACCTGGTCTCTCTGCTGTTTTTCCATTTCATCTAAGGATTTCCACCTCTGGGAATACTCAAATTCAAAAGTGCCAGGCTGAGCAAACCGAGGTGGTGTCTCTCTTTCCC